ACATTGTTCTGGTTGTCTATTTGAATAATTTATTTTTTGCTTTCAAAAGGGAAAATATAAAAAGAAAATATCTTAGTCCCATGTATCAGAATGGGTAAAGAAAATCAATATATGATTAAGAAAACATGTTTGAAATTGGGATTTTGGGAAACTCTATATTTTTAGGTTTGAAAAACCTAATCCAAGGTTCTCCCCCAAACCCAAAACTGTAGTGGTGGGTTTATAAAGTTGATCATAATAATGGGTTTATTAAAGTCAAATTTTGAGATGAACTTCATAAAAGAATCTAAATTACAAAGCCCTTTTTTCAACTTTAATTTAATCTTCTCATTCTCCAAATTTATTTTTAATCCATCACTAGTCAAACTCTCAACCTGAGTTCAACATTACTTTTTTAGACCTTAAATAAGACATACTCTGAGGGTTTAATCATAATACAAACTATAATAATTCAATGTCACCCATGATATACAAAATATCTGTTATTTTAGAAGTTTTAGTTATTTTGAACAAGAGTGCTTCATTCTCACTTACCATTATCAGCTTTAATAGCAAGAATGCTGTCTGATATGTTTTCTAATACCCTCTAATTCAAGATTAAAAACTGAAGTTAACAAATAAGTTAAATATCAATATACATACAAAAATTGTGTGCAGATTGATAGGTAGACAGTTTTAAATAAAACGTTTATTTTTTTAAAAAGTACATATTTGTAATGTCTTTGTAATACCCAAAATTTTGGGGTATTATTAGGATTTTTAAATATTAGAATGGCTTAAATAAAAGAGATAGGAAGATTAGGGGCAAATTAAAAGTTTGAGGACCCGATTGATAAAATTAAAACCTAGAGGAGGTCCGAAAATAATTAATCCAAAGTAGGTAGGGATTAAATCAAACAAAATTAGGAAACTAGGGGTTAATTTGAAATAAAACAGGGAATTTCAGATTTTGTATATCCATACGAATTTTGTAATCGGGTCTATCAAAATTTGATCGAATCAAGCAAATTTGATTTGAAATCTTTGAGTCTATACGTGCGATTGTAAAGGAGGAAGCAAACCCCTAAGTTTAATTGAGAAAATATTGGCTCAAATTATCAATTTGAAGCAAGATTTTCTTTCAGAGCATTACGGGTGCATGACGCAAGAAATTTCTAGATTTCATTCTTCCTCCGACAACTTGCCAACTATTGTTCGGCTATTACCACTTGCTGGGCCTCATTGATCATGGCCATTGGAGTAATTCAAGGTGAGTCATTGAATCTTGCAAGTAATTTGAGTAGAACAATTTCAGGCAAGGAAGGAACAACCCGGATAGGATCCAGGTCTAGGACGGGTAAAGGGCTTGGGTTTGACAATTTGAAACTTTGTTATGAGTTTTTAATTGGGTTATGGCCCAAATGAGCTGGCCTTTGACAAGTTGGGTTTGGGCTATAAAATTGGATTTGAACCTTGGATTAGGATTTGAATGGAAATATAAACAAATAACTAAATAAAATAGGGAAGGAAAAACTGGTCGGCTCACATGGATTTCGACCGGTTCTCTTCTGGTTCAAACCATAGTAATTTAGGTTAATGATTAAACTAATTAGTTTAGAAAAAATATTATTATTTTATTCCTGGTTCAAATGATTTTAGAGGATTTAATGTATAAAACCGGTCGGTTCAATGAATAAAAGGCTGGTTCAGTGGTTCTCAGATCGATTCAAGATCGGTTCAGTATTATAGAGATTAAGTTATGACTAATTTAATGATTTAAAGTCCGGTTCATGGCTGGTTCGGCCTTCCAACAACCGGTTCGTGGTTGGTTCAGCCCTCTAGTGGCTATTTCATGATCGGTTCAGTACATTAAATAAAAGTTTTGAGATTAAATAGACTACTTTTTTTATGTTTTTATAAGATTGGTTCATAACTTTGGTACTCGGTTTTTGGTATGGGTTTGGGCACAGAAATTTAGAATTTTTATCAGGGTCTTAATTAAGGAATTTCATTTATATGATTCTTGGATATATTAGAGAAATAAATTGAGATATTTGATAATTTTATGACTTTAGATTGTTTGAATGATACTTGTTGATGCCCATGTTGCCAAAGATTGGATTTATTTGTTTTCGTTATTTTCGTGAGTAATAATGTGTATTTGGAGCATTTACAGTTTCCATATTTGTTATAAAATCTAATTTGATATGATATATCTGGTTTCTAAAAATATGATTAAATCTGATTTTTTGAAAATTTGATTAAATTCTGTTTCAAAAGTGAAACAAGGGACATGTATGAAATTTTTGAAATTGTTTGGAACAAAATATTTGTTAATTATGTTTGACTCTGTACATGAAAAAATTTGTTAAACTATATTGGTTTGATTTTGGAAGATTGGAAAGTTTTGTTAAATTATTCTGATATTTCTAGAAAACTATTTTTAAAGGAGTTTCGTTTTTTAAAACACTACAGCTAATGACAGTATGCATTAAACTGATTTGCACCCTATACGAGTCCCTATCTAGCAGGGGTGATGGTGCTAAACTTTCTGATTTCTATTGATCAGCGTTAAACTGATTTGCACCTTGTACGGGTCCTTATCTAGCAAGGGTGATGGTGCTAGATTTTTTGATTTATATTATCTGGGCAGATTGATATATTGCCGTTATGTTATCCGGACATACTAATATATTGCCATCTTGATTACTAGCTGACTGTGTGTCGTTATCCTGATTACCGGCTGAATGTGTTAAACAAAATGCTATTTTAGTTTGTAGAAAATAGCTCTACCATTTTTAAACAAATTGTTAGTTTAGTCTTTTGTTTTCAATATTAACAAAATTAATAACATTAAATGATCTATGGTACAATAAAATAGTTTTTGATGGAATGAGAATGGGAATAAGAATGGGAATAGGCATGGAATAGAATAGAATACAATCAAGATTTTTATGAGTATGTTCAGTACACACTGATGGAATAAAAATTTTCATTCCATTGTTATGTGTAGTGTCTTAGAATGGAAGTAGAAAAAGAAACAAAAAAAATGTTTAAAAACAAAAATTTCATTTATTAAAAACAGTTAAATAACTTTTATTTTTAAATATATTATAAATATAATAAAAATTGACAATTGCAAATTTTATATTCTAACCTTAAATATTAAATATCAAAACATATAATTTAATAATACAATATTATAATATATATATATGTAGTTATTGAAAGTTTATAAAATAATGTTTGTTTTTTTTAATAATTTAATTCTTCAATTTTTAAAATTTTTTTCTAAATATCAAATTATTAACAAGTTATATGATTTAGCATGCAACAATATTATATATTCGCTTCTTCTGCTATTATTTTATTATCCCCCGACATAAGGAAAAAAATATTAAAATGTCCTATTGTAAAATATTTTTGACTTTTGATAATAAAGTAATTTTATATTTAATTGAAAGAATAGAATCTAGATTTCGTCAACTTAGTGATGAAATCAAAATTCCATCATATAAAAGAATCTTCATTCGCTAGAGAATTCCTATTATAACACGCTTACTAAACATAATTTTTTAACATTCTTATTTCTATTTCTATTCCTTTTCTAAAATTCCACTCTATCATACAGCCCCTTAGAGCATTTTTTGGATTTCTATTATATTATATATTTGATTTTATTTTTTGTCTTAAAAAAGAATTATTGAAAGTCTTTAATTTTTCATTATTTTCATAATAACTTCATTTTTGAGCTAAAATAGTTTTAAAAATTTTTATAGTAACTTCTTCTTAATTTTTAAAAATAGGAATTTTTTGAAAATAATTGATCAATTTTTGAATTTTTTTTTGAAAATAACTTTTCAATTTCAAATGAGTTATATGTTTCCATATTCTAACAAGTTTGAATCATTTGAATTTAATCTTTGAAATATAAAAAAATTCAGTAATTAATTTAATAAATTATTTTGATATAATATTTAGGTCAGTTTAATTTTTAGTCTATTTTTAATTTATAAAATTAAAATTGTATTAAAATATTTACTATATTAGTATTTAACAGCAAAACATATAAATTTAAAAATAAAACTAAAATGCCGATACATTACTGATGATTTTGTCAAGCATTTTATTTGATGCAAATAATTTTTTTTCCAATAACAGCACATAATTTTAGGGCAATGTTTGGTTACCCTTAAAAATAGAAGAGTCTACCTTTTGAGAGTCAAGCCATATCATCAAATGCAGGATATTTAATTATTCATATACAGTAAAAAATTAATTAAATTAAATTTATAATTTTTAAATAAATCAAGCACGCAAAATAACTAACTTTTTTGTTTTATACTAGAAGATTCAGAAAAATTTGAAGAGCTAAACACCTTGATATATATTTGTGTTTATAATTAATAACATACATAGGAAATGATTCACATACCACTTGCAGTATAAACTGCAAGAAGATTGTCTGATATATCTTGCAGAACCCTACAATAAAAAAAGAATTAAGTTTAGTGAATTTCTTCATTTTGTTTTCTTTTTAAAAATTAAATAAATGAGAATTCTTAAAATGTCGTTTGGAAAATAAACTTAGTGGGAGAGGAAAAGAAAGGAGAAATCACAACAAATTTAGAGTTCAAAATCTTGTATTATTAATTTATATAGGTGAAAATTGTAACAAAAATGCTTTTTCATTGTTGCAAAATAATAATAATAATAATAATAATAATAAAAAGAAGAAGAAGAAGAATTCTATATAAGGTGTGCTTGGATTCTTAAAATTTGTACAAAGAAGTCTATATAAGGTGTGGTTGGATTCTTAAAATTCGTACAATTTGAAATTTAAAATTTTCAAAAAACTGATTTTCAAATTTCTTTATAGTTTATATTTAAGCAAAAAAAGACCTTAATTATAAAAAATCAACAGCTAATTTCCATTATTATCTTATGAAAAAGTTTGGGCTTTTAACCAAACAAAATACTTGGCATTTGGAATTAACTCAAGGGTAATAAAGCATTCTTTTTTACCCTCCACTGCTGTATGGATCTTTGAGGCCATTGGAGAAGATGACGTTGCTAGCAAACCTTCGAAGAACCAATTTTATATCCTGCAAAATATTTCATGTTCAATTTTATGAAACTATATATATATATATATATATATAACTATAATAATTTGAATTGCCCCCTAAGTAGGGAAACATACATGGCCTCCGTAGTAGGTGGTGACCCAATGGGGCCGAGGTGAGACGCCATACAAGCTCTCGCAACGCTTAACGTAGCTATCTAGATCAAAGGGTTCTGGTGGAAACATGGTGGTGTTGTCATTGCGGCCAATGGGCATCACCATTTCACTACAAGTCTACACATAAACAAATAAACATCATTGGACTTAAAATTTATGATACCCACCATATATATATATATATATATATATAGTGTTTTACATGAAACCCCAATCCTAGTTACTTATACTGATCAGTGAGATGATGGTGAGCAATATAACTTACTTGCCAACCCCACCCATTAAAGTAGGACCTTGAAGTTGTGCCGAGGGATTGAAGTTATAGCATGAATCTTGATAATGAGCATACACGCCGGCTGATATCCGGCTGAGAACGTCGGTTCCTTGGCCGGCTCCATCAATTCCAGCACAGATATTGCTAACAGGATTAGTAGAGGGATCATTGTACTGAGCAGCGTGGGTGTAAATGCTCTCCAAGTAGTCCTTGAGGTCAGAAGATTTGCTCAAGAGCCTGAGACACAAGGACATGATAAAGTTCATGTGAATTCAACAGAACGGGAAATGAAAGAACAAGGTGGGGGTTTGCTTATTTGGTTATTACGAGCATGTCCGGAACTTCTGACTGAGGATAGAGAGACCGTTGGGCTGGGAAGCAACTCTGTCGATTTCGGACCATGATTCTTGTATTGTTTTGTAGCAACTCTCGCTTGCTTCCTGCAATACCCCATCATTAACAAAGACTAAGGCGCTAAGCATACTTTATTTTTCTCATATTTCGTGCGCTAAATTACATTTACATCCATTGTATTTTCATTTGGATGTAATATTTTAATTACGAAAGTTTAGTAACGTGGAAATAAGTTAGGATGAGTCATGTCAAGATTTAAAAAAAAATAGATATACTATAAAAATTACTAGCTTGAACATGACTTATGACTTATGATAGGTTAAAAAATTAGTCTTAATCTAATTTATTTGTAAAATTGACAAGGTCTGATTTGACTTATTAGCCTAACAGTGCATACATATTTAAACAATAAAATCTATTTTCTACAATAAATTATCATAAAATTTTCATTTTGAGAATATAACGGTTAGCCAACTCAAATAATAAAACTTAATATTTTAAACAAATTTCAGCTACCAAGTAAAATGTGATGTGGTTAATTAAGTGTAAAATTATTTTAATATTATATATATTATAATAATTATATGATATAAATTATATTTAAAAAAATATATTTTATATATAATTAATTATATAAACTAGCATGTTAAACACATTAATCAGACTTAATATAATTAGTTCAGACTTATTTAAATAAAAAATTAATTTTTTAGTTCGGGCTGGACTTGATTAGATAACGAGTCAAACTAATCCAAGCTAGTCTGTGGACAACTCAGAAACAGCTTGACCTATTTATGACAATTTAAAACAAGACTATTTACTCGTTCAAACGTTATCTAATAATTGGACTTTATAGGTTAGAATGAAATATCGATTGATTTGACATACATGTAATATATGTATGATTTAAATTTATTATAATCATATTTTTTAAAGAGAGGAAACTTAATTAAATTTGTAAAGAAAATTCTAAAAGAGAATAAGATAAAAAAATATTAGAGAGGAAAAGTTGAAAAAATTTAGAGAGATAAATTTTGAAGAAACAAAGTTGAAAAAAATTAGAGAGAGAGAAATTGAAAAGATTGAGAGAGAAAATTTATCAGTGTAAAAGTACAGAAGATGAAAGTGTAATTTATCCTACTTTGTGCATAATATATACTGTCCGTATAAGATTTATAAGAAAAATAAAATTTGTTGAACTAGTTCATGATCTGAAAACTCTTCAGAAAAATTCACACAAACATCAAAGTTTGAAGGTATAATAGGTACCTTGAAATCCTTGCTGATAACCGAGTAGAATCCATTTTGTGGAGTGATGTCATCAAAATAAAGGATAGGAGATGAAGAGGCCAGAGCGCCGAGAGCAACTTGAGGATACTTGAGCCGAAACCATGAAGCAAGCACTGAAAGTTTCAAAAAAAATTACAGGTGATTGTTAAGAATCTAAATATATATTGTGATATATATGTTATATTGATTTTTAAGAGTAATATGATATATTATAAAAAATATGAAAGACTATTATTAAACAATTCGAATTTAAATATTTTGAGTCAGTAATTCAGACTCAATAAATTAATAGAGTTAATAACCCTTAGGTCGTTATAAATGGTATCAAAGCAAAGTCATTTTCAGATCTGTTCTGTTTTAATACGAATACTTATTTTTGGCTTCACTAGTATCTCAAGTGTTTAAATGGGACAATTTGTGATATTCCATTTTACATTGATTTCTAAGAGTATTATGATATAATATTTAAAAAATTAAAAACTACTACTCAATAATTTGCATCTAAGTATTTTAAAATAGTGATCTAAACTCAACAAGTTATTAAATTTTGTAACTCTCATGTGATTACACACATATATATACACGCACACAAGCATAAAAGTGAATAAAATTTAATCTAATTATAAATTAAAGTATAAAATTAATTCAAATTAAATTAGTTAGTGATATCCTGTAAACTTACTTCCCCGTAAGATGCTCCCACGACAATAACTGGGCAGCTCTGGGCAGATAGTGTTCTTTTCAAGTGTAGAATAACTTCTGCATAATCTGCAATAGCTTGAGCTGAACTGAAGTAACCGCGGATGTCTTCATTCTTCATGGCTTCTTCGATTGATCCAAATGGAACTGATTGCCCATAGTAACGATGCTGGGAATTCAGAAATTTTCAATCAACCATTCAATTCGATACTGTAAAACAACCCGAAAATTAAATAGCATAAAATCATGTGTTAGTATTAAGAGGAAAATAGGGCAAGAACAAAGTTCCTACAAGCCAGGATGAGGTAAAAATCAAATAAAAAAAAGGGATCTTTACCCTTACCCATTCTTTTATTACCTTTTGGTCAAATGGGTCTATAGAAAAAAGCAATAACTAACATATTATGATACCTCTATATAAACTTGGAAAGCTTTGAAATAAGGCGCGTTTTCAGCTAAAAATCCAATCCCATTAAGATCATCATCTAATGGATTCTCTGCACCAAGATAAACAAAGATTGGCGCGTTTGCTTCTGCCCCACCCCAGTACTTATCATTGATCATGTATCTTTGTTGAAATATTGCATAGCTGTCAGGCCTGAAATTGAAGTGGTCGAGTGTTTGGTTGTAGAAGAAGGTTTTGAAATCCTCCGACTTGTATGCTAATGTGGTATTAGATGCCTGTTTAAACTGTTTCCCACGAATTGCAGTAAGTCTGGGAATGTTGTGTGGTGCCGCAGAAACAATCACTAGAAGAAATAGAAGAGAAAAGGGAAGTAACTTTAATGAATGTGTAGGAGTGCTAGAGTTCATAGCTGTTGAAATGGATGCAAAAGGAAAAGAGAGAAGATAGGCTAGTTTTGTAGTTTGAACTAAGCTCCGGGTGATCAGATCATGAAAATTGAGTATTTTAATCCCAATAAATTCTCTAACAAAATCTCAAAAACTATATTTCAACTCAGATCCAAGCAAAATTTTCGAAGTGGGGAAAAATTGGAAGGAAGGAGGAAAAATTTAAGACTTAAAAATGACAAAGTGCTCTAAAAATTGTTGGGGAAGTCTGAGTTTATGGAATCATTTTGGTGGAAGCTCACATTTATATACAAGGCGAGTACAGAGCTAAATCAAGGCTGGCTTATTCTTAGAAGCAGCAGTCTCTGTTGAAAAGTTAGGAGATTGATAATTTCAGCTTGATTCACGTATTGTTGAACTGGTCAAGTTGATTAATTGTGGGCAACGAGAGCTCGGAAAATTCATTGACCAAGTCGGTCAACTTACTAAAATATTAACGTTGCTTGCTTTCCAAGCAAAGTAGCTGATTGGGTTCTTCTGATGGGTTTTATTTGAGAGCGATAAGAAATCTATGTTTGTGGTGTATATTTAGGAAACCATCGCCACCTTGCACTGTAATTTTTTTGAAGTTTGGGTATAATTAAAGCTAGTTCTTATCGTACTTCAACTATTTTTGTTGACCTTATTAATTAGTAAGACATATATAGTTGCTAAGTAAAGGATAATTTTGGGACTCCAGACTCATGAGGTCATGGGTTTTTGCGTCCAAACTTATAATCAATTAATTAATTGGAGTTTTAATCCTCAGGTTTTTCAAAATTTTAAACATACCTTAACATTTTATAAGTCCGATCAGTCAAATAGACATACATCCTTGCAAATGTCCCCTTAATCACGAAAATTTTCTTTGCAACATGGTATAATAGAATTCAGCTGATGGAATAAGAATATGGATATAAATCATTTTGATATGAATCATTTCAAAAGTGTATCTGGTGACCATTTTTTATTAGGAATTTATATTCCTTAATAATCAAGATTTCTATAAATGTGATAATCTAGATTCCATCGATAAAATGATAAATTTATAGTACTATTCTATTACTTAATTATTTAATTACTATTCTACATTCTATATGTCAATTTTTAAATATTTGAAATTAAATAAATAGGTTTATATTAAAAAATTTAAAAGATAAAACAATGTCAACTCGTTAAGAAATTTATACCTAATTTTAATTAGATCTAAGTTAAATCTCAATTTAACTACTTTGGAATTTAGTTGTAAGATTAGAATTGAATTTGAGCTCTGATTCAGATCCCAATTATTGGTTGAAGATGACTTGTTGGTCATTTTCTTGTTGGGCCTCGTTTATTTCCACACCTTCAAATGTGCGTGCAATTTACGTAGAGAAAGAGGGTCAATCCCTTCTGGACAGGGGTGTTTGTGATGGAGAAAGACGGTCAATTCCTTCTGGACAGGGGTTTTTGTGATTAGGTTTGGTTGGATTTTAAGATTTACCTTTGAATCAAATTACATATCATAATTTGTAATTTTAAAATCAAATTAAATCATAAAACTCATAAGAACCAAATCGAACCGAATCACAGTTTATAATTTGATTCAATTTAAAAATATGATTTGTAAATTAAATCTACTAAAATTTCTGTCAAACTTTTTACCTCTATATAATTACAAAATTAGAGTAAAATCAATTAAATTTGATAATTGAAAAGAATGCTCACTAAGAAAATTTAATAAATTTAATAAATTAAACATTAACTTCATATGTAATAATCCAAATCAGATGACTATTTGAAAGAATTAGGAACTTAAGAGATCATTAAAAAAAAAGAAATGTAAAAGAAACTGAAAACTAAAATGCCAAAAAATAAAAGAAAGTAAAGAGACTAAAACAAAAGAAGAAAAAAATTAAAGGATTAAATTACAAATTTAAACATAATTTAAAGTTTAGTTCAATTTATATGATTCGATATGGTTGTCAAACCATAAACTAAATTGTGAAAAAAATTAATCTAAACTGAATCAAATCAAATCATTAACCAAACTAAATATTAATTTGATTTAATTTACTCAGTTTAATTTAATAAATTCCCTTACTTTTGATAACTGAAAGGTTTGCAAAGAATTCAAACAATTAGGTAAAAAATAGATCTAATGGGACATTGAAAAAGAAAAAAAATTAGTTTTACACCCTACGAGTCAAAAGAAAAAAAGCTAGGTAGACAAAAAAAATTAGTTTCGCACTGTATGAGTCAAA